CAGAGCCAAGCGTCCTGACCGAGCCCACCATGACTGGGTATCTCTGGCTGTGCCTATGGGGGCTACACACCTCCTAGTGCCAGGGCTGCAGGCTCACACGCAGTATCAGTTCAGTGTCCTTGCTCAGAACAAGCTGGGCAGTGGGCCTTTCAGTGAGATTGTCCTGTCTATACCAGAAGGTAAGAGGTCCTCAGCTCTGCACGGCACAGAAAAAGATGAGGAAATGCAGGAGGGATGGGATGGGTGGAGGAGGGCAGGGGTAATGGGGGGATCTGGGAGATGGAGTAGAGGTGCTGAGCAGCTTGGGGTCCAGAGAGGGTCCAGAAGCGCTATAGCAGAATATGTGGGTGTTTGTGGTTGGGGAAGGACAGAGTGGAAGGACAAGATGAAGGACTTGGAGACTCCTAACCCTCCTATCCCTCGTTTGTGTTTCCGCCTGTCCTGTTTAGGGCTCCCTACCACACCGGCTGCTCCGAGGCTTCCTCCAACAGAGATGCCACCTCCTTTGTCCCCTCCTAGAGGTTTGGTGGCAGTGAGGACACCCCGGGGCGTACTTCTGCATTGGGATCCCCCAGAACTCATCCCCGACAGACTGGATGGCTACATCCTGGAGGGACGGCAAGGCTCCCAAGGCTGGGAGATCCTGGACCAAGGTGTGGCAGGCACGGAGATCCAGCTGCTGGTGCCTGGTCTCATCAAGGTGTGTGCCAGAGGCAGCAGAGCGAGGGAGAGGCCAGTCTCTTCTTCTTTCCCGATTCTGTCTTCTCATCCTGACTTGGCCATTTTCACCTCCTGTCCTACCTCATTCTTACCTCCCAACTGCAGTCTTCACAAAAGGGACTATGGTGGGCAGTGCTGGTCCTGATCTCCTCCATGGCCCTCCACCTCTCATCCCCAGGACGTTCTCTATGAGTTTCGCCTCGTGGCCTTTGCTGATAGCTACGTCAGTGACCCCAGCAACATAGCCAACATCTCCACTTCCGGTGAGAACCAGTGGTGGTGGTGGGTGGAAATTGCTGGAGGTCATATGGGGATTCTCCACCCACTGATCCTCTCACCTATCCCTTTGCCCAGGCCTGGAGGTGTACCCCTCCCGCACACAGCTACCAGGACTCCTGCCCCAGCCTGTATTGGCTGGTGTTGTGGGTGGAGTCTGCTTCTTAGGCGTGGCAGTCCTTGTGAGCATCCTGGCTGCCTGCCTCATGAATCGGCGCAGGGCTGCCCGACGCCACAGAAAACGTCTGCGCCAGGGTAGGTGCCATCCATCACTCGCCTTCCCTAGGCACACTCTCTCCTTCACCCTCATCACTGGGATCCTGAAGTACTCCTAGTCCACTTGAAGGGTTGACCATCCACCAGCTGTCTGTACCTTTTGCATGGTCCTGGGGCAGCATCCTTCCATTCTGGTACCTAGCCCTGCATACCCTTTCCCCAGTTGGATGGGAATGGGGTTTAGAGTTACATTCCCCGGGGCTCGGGAGGATCTTTATCCGAATCAATTGCTGCTCTCCTGTCCTTACAGATCCACCTCTGATCTTCTCTCCACGTGGGAAGTCAGGCCCACAGTAAGTCCCTTTACCTTTTTTGGCTTCCTCCTGCCTTCCTACTGCTTCCTATGTTTACCTTCAGAAGGAATAGGAAATTCAAGGGAAGTGAGAATAGGCGTGTGCTGGCCCCAGCTCAGGGACTAGTCCTACACGGTTCCTCTTCCTCCCACCGCCTGGCCCCACCCTTGCTTGCTTTCCCTAGCTCTGCCCTGTTGTGCGACAGACCTTGCAAGGCCAGACCTCATTCTTCTGTCCTTCCTCAGCTCTGCTCCTGGCTCAAGCAGCCCTGACAGCGTGACCAAGTTCAAGCTCCAAGGCTCCCCAGTCCCCAGCCTACGCCAGAGTCTGCTCTGGGGGGAGCCTGCCCGGCTGCCTAGCCCTCACCCGGATTCTCCACTTGGTCGGGGACCTTTACCATTGGAGCCCATTTGCAGGGGCCCAGATGGGCGCTTTGTGATGGGACCCACTGTGGCCCCCCCACAAGAAAAGCTATGCCTGGAGCGGTCAGAACCTCGGACCTCAGCTAAACGCTTGGCCCAGTCCTTTGACTGTAGCAATAGCAGCCCCAGTGGGGTCCCACAGCCCCTCTGCATTACAGACATCAGCCCTGTGGGGCAGCCTCTTGAAGCTCTGCCTAGCCCCCTACCAGGTCCAGGACCCCTGCTCCAGTACCTGAGCCTACCCTTCTTCCGAGAGATGAATGTGGATGGGGACTGGCCACCACTTGAGGAGCCCAGACCTGCTCCACCTCCAGATTTCATGGATAGTCTGCCCTGTCCCACCTCAAATTTCCTTCCACCACCTGACTCACCTCTTGCAAACCTCAGGGCAGTGCTTCCTGGGACACTGATGGGGGTCGGGCTCTCCTCAGAGCCCCCTTACACAGCTTTGGCTGACTGGACACTGAGGGAGCGGGTCTTGCCGGGCCTTCTCTCTGCTGCCCCTCGTGGCAGCCTCACCAGTCAGAGCAGTGGGAGGGGCAGTGCTTCCTTCCTGCGCCCTCCCTCCACAGCCCCCTCTGCAGGGGGAAGCTACCTCAGTCCAGCTCCAGGAGACACAAGCAGCTGGGCCAGTGGCCCTGAAAGGTGGCCCCGAAGGGAGCATGTGGTGACAGTCAGCAAAAGGTAAAGGCAGTAACTACCTGTTCTTGCCCAGGCCCTCCACCCTGCCCTGTCATTCCATATCGCCTCTAATCCCTCGCCCCTCCCCCTACTCTTCACCTTCTGCGTTCCATTTCCACCCTGAGACCAGAAGACCCCTTATCTTGGAAGTTCTGCTGAGATCCATGAAGCGCGATCTGATTTAGAAGACGCTAGGTTCGTACTTTCCTGGTTGCCGTCTACTCCTCCGCCCACACTTACCACCTGTCCTTTAAAACAGGAGGAACACCTCTGTGGATGAAAACTATGAATGGGACTCGGAATTCCCGGGGGACATGGAGCTGCTGGAGACTTGGCACCCGGGCTTGGCCAGTTCACGGTCCAATCCTGAACTTGAGCCAGAGTTAGGTGTGTGACCCTCTAAGCTGCACTCTCCCACGCCCACCCTCCCATGCTCTGAGCTGGTCTTTCTGTTTCCCAGGCAATTCCTGAGAGTCAGGCTCCCTGCCCTGGAGTGTCTCTTGCTCCCTAGGCTCCCTGCACTGTCCTTTGGAGCCTCAGCCTGAACCCTGCAGCCAGTGAGTCACGGTACATCTTCTCACACCGTCCTGTCTTCCCCTTGAAGGTGTCAAGACCCCAGAGGAGAGCTGTCTCCTGAACACCACCCACGCTCCTGGCCCCGAGGCCCGCTGTGCTGCCCTTCGGGAGGAATTCCTAGCTTTCCGCCGGCGCAGGGATGCTACCAGGGCCCGGCTACCAGCCTATCAGCAGTCGGTCTCTTACCCTGAGCAGGCTACTCTGCTCTGAGCATGCTTAGTGTGAAACTAAGACAGGCGTATGGATGTGCAAAGGAGGCCAAGACCTTGGCTCCAACCTGGGGCACTGTCCCTACCTCTCTGTGTCATAGACCCTGATGATGGCCTGGTGGCAGGCTTGCGTGAGCTTGGTATAGAGTGGATGTACTGACTCTCTGAGTCTGGGAGCTGAACAGGTGTGTGTGTGTGTGTGTGTGTGTGTGTGTGTGTCTGTTTGGGGGGTGTTTATGGTGTGAGTGCAGGTTTTTTTTTTTTTAAACAGGTGAATAATAAAAGTCTGAAAAACGTTTCTCTGTTACCTCTCTTTGTGTTTAAGAGAGGTGAGGAAGTCCCTGGATATGTACAGAGAGGGTTCTGAATGGGACACAGTCAACAGTCATTCAAGAAAAGAGTTGTTAAGTGCCCAGTAGGCATCTGCTGTTAGGCTAGAAGGCATGAGAAAATAGAGAAATCATTGAGACAATGCCTTTGTCCTTGGGGAGTTCTCTCTAGTCAGCCAGGCCAACTACGTTCTGTGATAAAGCTGTAAGCTGGTTATCACATTGGCACAAAGAGTCAATATTTAGTAAATACAACATGTGGGAATTCCTGTGACACTCACAGGAGATCGACAGCATTCCCTGTGTGCCAAGCACCGCTCGGCGTTCTCTCCATGTGCCTTCTAAGTCTCCGCCACCTGGAGTTTATTTTGTAGACTGGGCACGGCAACTGAAGCTGAAGGTGCTTTCATAATTGACCGAAAGCCACACAAGCAGGTAACAGGCAGAGCAGGGAAGGAAAACCTGCCTATGGGCAACTTGACATTCTGTGGGTCTGAGCGGGACTTTGGGGAATAGTGAACGCAAAGGTCAGGGTGGAACTGGTTGGTTTTTTAAAATGTCAGGCTCAACAGGGGACTCCACCATAACGTGAAGAAAGAAAACCATTGGTGGATTTTAACTGGGGAACTTCACTAACTGAAGCTTGAAAAAGTAGGTGTTCAGGGCACTTCTAAACTATTTCTCCACTTAGCCCATCCCCCCAAGATCTAAGAAATGTCAACTCATTAAATGAGAGATGTAAGAGAAACTGAGTCTGAACCCAAGGTCCCAAGTCCTACCACACCCTTAAGGCCCTGGGCAAGGAGTGGCCTCACTGTTCGTGTCCCCCCCACCCCCGGGGTTGCTTGAAATTAAATCGCAAGCAGAATCACGTGGGGGTGCTGTCCCAGACTGCAAGCCCCAGTCCTGTTACTCCTTACTCGAGCCTGTGGGAAGGCTCTTCCTGTACCTCCATTTACAAAAGGCCTTTTTGTAATAGTAGGCTTCTTACAGAAACAGGCCTGCGATCATGAGCTAATCTAGGCAGAAAGTTTCCTACTAGGATACAAGTCTATGGCTGTTGAGTGGAGGTTGATCTCCTGGGTGGAGACCTTTTGCAGCGGCGCCAAGGACTCAGCAGGCTCTTTATTGCTCATTCCTGCCTACTGACCACCTATCTCAAGCGCTCCAGCATTCCACGCGGCTGCGCCTTTAAACTCTCTTGGCCCTTGCCCCGCCCCTGGTCCGCCCCGTCTGAGGCGGGACCCTCCAGAAAACTCCAAGCCGCGCCGGGTCTTGAGCTCCACTCGCCACTGCACCCCCTGACGTGAGAGCGCTCTCATCCAGCCCGCTTGGACGGTGAGCAGGACTGAGGGACCAAGGCAGCGGGGTGGGGGTGGGGGTATGTGTGTGATCTGTAGAAAGCAAGAAGCCAACACTTGAGACTTGCTTCAGGGAGCGTGGGGGGTTGAAGACTGGTGGACGCTGGGGTCCGAACTGGGTGCCCCGCCCCGTGCTGTCAGGTCCGGTTCCCAAGCCTTCTCCGCATTGTTCAGCAATTAAGTAAGGCAAGCTTTGCGGGTGCATAGACGGGACGTCCGTCCCGACCCAAGAGGTCTGGTCTCAAGTCCCAGCAGTTCGCTCCAGCGTCGAGTTCTTTTTGGGGGAGAAGGAAGGAGGGCATCCGACGTCCGCAGGCTGCTGAGTGGCCGCAAGAACTGGGTTCTGGCGCGCGCCCCGGTGCGTCTCTGCGGTCCCTGAACTTACCACGCGACCCTTTCACTTCCTGGTCCAGGAGCACGTGTGGGCACTGTCTGCCTTCTGTGACCCCGAGACCGCCCTTTTGGTCCCCTCCACCTAGTTAGTTCGTTTGTCTGGGTATTCGGGGTCACCAGCTGTGGTCACGGGTCTCGGTGAGTTCTTTGCACAGTAGCCTGGTCTTCTGTGAACCCCCCTCTTCTCCTGGAGTTCATTTGACCTCGGACATCTCGGGGCTGCAGCCCTGACTGCACTCGGATGTGCCCTGTCTGTAAGGGTTGGCTGCTGTCCAAGCTCTCTTCCCCTAGCCTGAGACCTGCTGCCCCCTCCTATCTCCCCTGCTGCTGGGAAAGCCGGTGGTGGCCGCGGGCGGGCGGGCGGGCTGCCCAGACCTGCGTCACCCCAGTGGCGGGAGGGCGGTGGTTGACTCATCCACAGTAACGGCCCAGGGTGTGGCCGCAGGGGTGGGAGCGGCGGCTAGAGGGGCTGAACCTGCAGACCGGAAGTAGATGTTCTCCTTATTGGGCTCTGCAGGCCTACCTGTGTTTGTATCCAGAGGTTCTGGGATACCTGGTGTCTGTGGAGCAAAAGCCGCGGTGACGGAAAGGAGGTGCGCTGTAGAAGACCTGTGGCTGGACGGGTCCCCTTGTTCTCTAGAGCAGGAGTCAGGGATAGCTCATCTCTAAGCTCCTCCCATTTTTTCTTTCCTGCAGCTCAGGGTACACCTCAGACTACGGGCCAAGGTAGGGAGGGGTAAGGTGCTAACGTTCCAAAGCCGCAAATAATCTTTGTCCTTGCGATCCCCTTGCATACCCACGACTTTGCTGTCTATGGTGCTTCCCAAGGGATTGGCCTCTAGTCTGTGTTCCACTCCATGGCTTTGCCCTTCAAGATTGCCAGGTGTGGGCTTTTTAGCTCAGAAAATGTCTTTCCTTCCCAGGATATTTCTTCTTTGATTCTCTACGCACAAACTGCATATGCCCTCCAGATCCTCCAGAGCGGCCGCTTCCCCCTCCCCGATACCCCTTTCCCCATTCTGGTTCTACCCTGAGAGCTGCTAGGATCCCTTTTGCCTCTTTGCCTAGAGCCTCCACCCAAGTCTGTGTGGAGTGGGTGTTCCTGCCCCCCCGGGGGGGGGGGCGCCACCTTGCCTCCATTCCCATGTTTGGTACACAGAAGCCATGGCAACGGCCTCCACCCCCTCCTCTCCTCCTGAGCAGCCCTTGTGGCTTCCTGTTTGTGGAGCTTAGCTTTCTCTTCTGCTCAGGACTCGAGGTGGTTAGGGGACTGCCCTCTGGTGGGGGAGGGTCTTCCCTAAGGCATCCCTTTAACCGCAGTGCCCCCACTGGCCTTCTGCCTACCCACGTGGCGGTTCTGTTTCAGCAGTTGGGAAGTTCCCTACATTCCACTTGCACAGTGAGAGGAGAGTCCCATTGTCTTCTCAATACTTAATCAAGAACTCTAGAGTCCAATCCTCCAACTTGTTGTCCCCCTTGCCTTCAGTATTGACGTTGAATGGGGTGAGGTAAACTACCAGCCGTGGTTTGGGTGGAGCACTGGGTTGGACGGCGTTTTATGGTTCCTTCTCTCCCAGTTATTGTAACCTTGTGGGCCTGGATGAGGATGGTTCCCAGGGCTACCGTCAGCTCTAGAGTTTGTCACTGCCAGCCCGCTGTGCAAGCTAGCCAGTTGTCTTCACTTGGGATACCCAGTTCTAGGCATCCTCCACACCTGTGTTCCAGCTGGACAGATCCCTTTAGCCTACACCAGAAGGAGACTTGCCATTTTCTCTTTCTCTGAGGGAGGGCTGGGTTGGATCTCATGAGTGTAACTAGGGTGGGTCTCTCCAGCTGCAGCAGCCGCAACCCATCCGTTGCCTGCCAGCCTGGAGGCAGGGAGAGGGACAGCTGCTGTCCAGGCAGGGCCGGCTGGGAGAGCCTGGTCTAAGAATCCCACCCCGTGGCTCTGCCACTTTGGGGTTCTATGGTCATGGCCTCAGAGTGGAACAGAGACACTGCAGCTGGAAACGAACAGCCCTGCCAGCTGTGTCCAGGCTCCCGAGCTGGAGCAGGGAGATACTGGAAAGGTCTGTCTCTGAACTCTCCCTCTCAAGCCTGGTGTCTGGTTAATCATTCTCTTGCCCTTTCTTTACCTGTGCCTGGACTCCAGGCTCACCAGCTCCTTGGAAACAGCCCCAAGCAATAAGAGGAAAGCTGTTTCCAGAAGAGGTCTAGAGATTGGGCAGGGAGAGGCGGCTTGCGTGTGATAGCAGCCTCTAGCCCCCTTCCTTTCCTTTTCCTTTTTCTAACCATTCCTTTGTGGTCAGAGGTTACAGCACTCCCCCCATAGCTCAGGGCTGAGTCGCTGCAGCTGGACTGGTGAGGGCGAGGTACTGGCTCCCCTTTCTTCCCAGATTTCAGCTACTCCACCCAACGACTACCTGCATTTGTCAAGCTGAGTGTGTGTGGCCTGCGGTGCAGGGTGGGTCAGGACCCAGCCTGACATTTGTCCGGTCTCCTAATGAAGTTTAAAAATAACTGATTTATGGGAAGAATCCTACCGGAAATGTGCAGCTGGATAATCCAGAGTAGAAAGGAGCGGCCATGTTGAAGGGTGGGGGAGGGGACTGACCCAGCACACAACCTCTGCCCAGATGTATGACATTATTAGCGACGGACTTATTAGCCTGACCTCTTTGGCTGAGCACCAGAGCCCATTGAGGGGGTGGTGGGAGTGTTTAACCTGGGGTGCATGAGAGAAGGAGCCAGAATGACTTCATCCCTTAAGACTGACCTGGCCTGATGCCAGATGTGGGCTCCCTTCCTCTCTCTCTCTGAATGGAGGCGCTTGTCCTGTGGATACCATTTTGTGAACAGTCAGAGACAGCTGGCTCTATTTCTGACTAGAGAGCAGGACCCCTAAGCAGTGGCAGGGATTAGCAAATGAAGGACACTGTCCCTTGTCTGTCCCTGGCACCCCTGCATAACAGCAGCTACTCTCTCCAGGTTCCTGGGTGTGGCACCTGTCAGTAAAGTGGTGGGTGGGGCAGGCTGCCCACAGTGAAATGCCCGCCAACTCAGGCCTGCCATCAAGCCAGCAGCCCTTCCTAACCAGGGTCCTCAAGGAACCTTAAACCTAGCTATGCACTTTACCACACTTCTTTCTCTTCCCAGGTTTCCTTAAAAATCACACCCAAGGCTCTGGGTTAATTTCCCCTTTCTGCTGTAACAAACTATGAACTTAGCCACACACTGGATGCTCTGGCAGTCCTAGAAACTCAGCGGGAGAAGCTGGTGGGCCATACTCGCTGGGTCTGAGGAGCTAGGGGAGGATCCATTTCCTTTTCTTTTCTGGCCTCTTGGGACATTGCTTGGTTCCTGACCCTTCCTGACAGCCACCTTGTCTTCACTTCTCCCATGCTGCCTTCCGCTTTCACTTACTGAGAATGGGAACTCTGCTGACGGTACTGGGCCCACCTGGCTGGGAAAGGCTGATCACGCCATCTGCAAATGTACACCCTACCTTTTCAACTATGTACGATGACATATCTCTTGGTTTGGGGAACCAAGATTACTATATGGACACTGTTGGTGGGAGAGTAGGCAAGGGGGGTTAGTCTGCCGATCACAATTCCTAGAAGGAAGGAATTTGTTTTGTCTGCTGGGTTTCTCTCAGGAAATTCCCTCTGCCTGCTGAGATGTGGGCCTTCCTTTCCCAGCAAGCCCACCCAGACTGCTTCTGTCCCTCTGCTTCTATTAATTCCTGAAAGATGATCTGTGCAGGTTAATATTTGTTGTGCACACTGTTTCTACTTGTCAGTGCTACACCATGTATCCCCTTGGTGAACACTGTGGCCAGAGACTTCGTTCTTTTCTACAGCCCCTGGTATAGATCGGAGATGCTCAGTTACAACCTAGTGCTTAATGGAGGGTAGTTCACTCACTCCCGATCTTGGCATAGGTTTCCCGTATGCTCTTTACGCTTACTTCCTGGATCACTTTTAAGGCTGGGAAGAGTAGGGTTAGGGGCCAGACTGATTGATTTGCCTCTTCAAGCTTCATTACTCCAAACGAGGAGCTGAACTGAAATCCTTTACCTCATCCTGCATTCCATTGGGTCCTAGGCTTCATTCTAGTCGCAGAACCATTCATTCAAATGAAATTTAGCATCTGGGTGGCTTCCTACCAGCCAGAGTTCAGAAGAGCCCTGCTGTGTTAGCTCCTGGCCAGGAGTTCCCTCCCTGGTCTTTATAGCCACCCTATGCATTGGACTATAGAATGTTGACCGTGGGCCTGGTTATGTCCTCTTCACAGCCCTTCACCGTCACCACAGCTGCTCAGAATGGCCAACAGGGGACCTTCTTACGGCCTGAGCCGAGAGGTGCAGCAGAAGATCGAGAAGCAGTACGACACGGATCTGGAGCAGATCCTGATCCAGTGGATCACCACTCAGTGCCGCAAGGACGTGGGCCAGCCCCAGCCTGGGCGAGAGAACTTCCAGAACTGGCTCAAGGACGGCACGGTGAGAGCTGGATGCAAGAGAGCAGGGCGAGCGGGGCTGATGCTGGGGGACCAGGGACTGTTTTACAAAAGAAAAGGGAACGAGCATGCAAACCCAAGCTTGCCAGCCTGAGCATCTTCCTTGGGGGCTCTTAGAGCTTCCATGCTTTCCTGTGTCCACGGAGGAAAGGTCAAGGCAGATGTGCCTGCTGCAACAGGGGCTGATAGGTGCTGGTAATGTTTGGGAAGAGGGTGAGAAGGTAAGCTCCAGGGAGTGGTTCTGGAGTAGTGAGAAAAGACTAAACACTGGCCCTTTATCTGGGTTCAGAGGCAGGAGGCACCTTAAGGCTCACCACAGGAAAGGCATCTCTCTGGTTCACTGTCTTTGGTTCTCTGATCTTCAGTAGGTCCGACCTCACCTCTGTCTGCCTGCTGCCTCTTCCAGGTGCTGTGTGAGCTCATTAATTCACTATATCCTGAGGGGCAGGCCCCAGTAAAGAAGATCCAGGCCTCTACAATGGCCTTCAAGCAGATGGAGCAGATCTCTCAGTTCCTGCAGGCAGCTGAGCGCTACGGCATTAATACCACGGACATCTTCCAGACTGTGGATCTCTGGGAAGGTGGGCCAGGGGCCAGAGCTGTTACCCGGGAGAGCGGGCATTGGGCTGGGCCACCCTTACCAAAGAAAACGTATAGCTAGTAATTTTCCTGAGGACAAGTGTGTGTGCGTGTATGTGTGTGTGTGCATGTGTATTTGATTAAGAATGGGGCATACTGTAGGTTGAGGTTGAAACAATGAATTAAAGTTTGGATACCAGGCTTGCAGACCTAGTGACAGATAGAATGCTGGCATCTAGTAACCTACTTCTGCTGAGATGATATCACCATTTTCTTCCAGGAAAGAACATGGCTTGTGTGCAGCGGACACTAATGAACCTGGGTGGGCTGGCAGTAGCCAGGGACGATGGGCTCTTCTCTGGGGATCCCAACTGGTTTCCTAAGTAAGTATCTGTGGGATAGCCATAGGCCTTGCTTGTACAATATTCTTGCCCACTCCTGTCTATAGATAATAGAACCAGTCATTACAAGGCATCTTTAGAATTCCAGAAGGTGGCGGGTGGTGGTTGTGATGGCGATGACTGTTCTTTTGATGAGACAAAGAGGTGCTTCTAGGCTGCTCAGGAGTTTCAGAGGCAGAGTGGGTGTTGGCTTGTACACTTCAGGGAAGAATTTACCGGGGTAGCTAGTCTCTGACCACCCCCTAACTAGTACTTCCTTTCTACCCAGAAAATCCAAGGAGAACCCTCGGAACTTCTCAGACAACCAGTTGCAAGAGGGCAAGAATGTGATTGGGTTGCAGATGGGCACCAACCGTGGAGCATCTCAAGCTGGTATGACTGGCTATGGGATGCCACGGCAGATTCTCTGATCACACCCCCTTCATCCCCCACCCTCCACGAATGGTTAATATATATGTATATATATGTTTTAGCAGACATTCCTTGAGAGCCCCTGGATTGCTAAACTCCCCTCTGCCAGGGTGGGGTCCAACCTATCTTGTCACCGCTGGCAGTGCCTGATAATTGCTCCCCCCCTCCCTCTCTCTCTGGGCTTACTAATGCATTCCTTCCTCCACAACCATCAAAACTGGACCAACGAAAACCCTGGGACCAAAGCCTCCTTCCCCCGGGCATGTTTCTGCTTTCATGACCTCTTCTTTAAGTCCGTCCCTTGGCTAGGAGGTCAGAGATCCTGCCCTGTGGCCCGATGCTGCACTGACCATTCCTTCTACAAGGAAGCCTCTCCTACAGCTGTGGCTGCAGGAACTTAATTTATAGGGAGGGGCCTGTGGCTGTCACTCCAGCCACAGCTGGGCTGTACTTACCACATGTCTGGGCAGCTTTCCCTAGCAGAGGCCCTTTGGCCCCCTACTTTCCATTCCTGTCACTGTGGCTGAGGGGTGGAGCAGAGGCAGAAGAGCTACCCACCATGGTCTGGGCTTGAGGAACACGAGTTTGCTGATCTTAAATAAAAAAATCTCATTTTTTGAATGGATTCTGGCTGTTTCTAGGGCGACTGCGCCCATTCCAGGGTAATGGAGTCATACCAGACAGGAAGAGAGGGTACAGAGGAGCGGTTGTGGGGCTAAGCCCTGTCTTCGTTTTCTTTCCTATCCTCTCTCTGTCATTTGGTTTAGGGGACGACAGGTTGGGTTTGAGAAGGGGCAGAACCTCAGAGCTGTTGTGGGTAGGGGTCTTAATGCAGATTGTGCGGCCTGTGTGTGCAGGATGGGAGAACTTTACTCCGCAGCGAATTGGGCAGGTGGCCTGCTGCTTCTGGCCTGACAAACATAGACCTCATCTAACAGGAGATCTTTCAGGGAGATGGAGCAAGATAGTCCCCATGTTGAAGCAGGCCATTCTGACTTGGGTTGCTGAAGGTGGGGGTCACAGTGACTAGATAAAGCCAAAAGCTTGGAAATGAGCAAGAATGAGTTGGTGGCTGTGGAGATGGACACCTTGTCCACTGATCCCAGGCACCTGTGGGCCGAATTCCATGGAGAGCCTCACAGTGGCTTTCCTCTAGACTCTGGCCTTGGACAAGATGATCAATTTGGGATCACCATCCTCAGCCCAACCCATGAATGAATGCTTGCAGCTTGTAGGTCTTCTGTCATCTCAAGGCTTCTTATGCCATCTCCAAGTCTTCCAATGGAGGACTTGAGGGACTCTAGGTCAGCTAGTGTCCCATCCCTGCCCACTGGAACCACCCAGTCTCAGGACCATGATCTCCAATGTCCCTCGCCCTCACAATACTGTGCCTGAGATTCATGATACAGCAGTTTTTAACCAAAGACCTTGTCTTCCCTCCTCTGCCTCACTGTGACAGTCTCTTCCTGGAAACACCTACTGTGTGCCAGGCACCATGCTGTAGTTTATAGCCATCAGCTCTGTGGCCTTCAGCCCAGTTCTGGTGTCATGCTATGGAGGAGATAGCATTTTCTTGCTTGCTGCACTCCCGGGGGCTGTGGCACAGATAAGACAGGCTGCAGCCTCTGTATAAATCTCCAGGGGCTAGCTGTCAGTCCTTTATCTCTCCTTCAGGAAGGCTTTGTGGACTGCCAGTGTGAGAGAGTGATATCATTGCAGAGAAAACACTGAATTCACAGATTTATTTATTTTTTTTAAAAAAACCTCTTTCCCTGATTTAACTATTTCGAGTTATAACTGTTGTCGACATACTGCCATCTTCTGAGATGTGATGTGCCTCAGCACTGACTGGTCCCAGAAGATTCTTACAGAAGTTCAGGAGGCTGACATACCTTGTTATTGCCCACATTTTATTCACTGGCTCTCACAAAGGGCAAGAAACTTTGCTAAGGCCACCTTGGAATCACAGGAAGGAGTCGGTATTTGAGCCCCAAGTCAACCTGGCTGAAGGTCTAGTCCAGCCTGTGCTGTTACAGCCACAAGTCGGATGTGGAGGGACTGGGGGATGGGATGTAATGGGATGCTGTTCCCCATTCTGTAAACTATAGAGAATGATTTCTCCTAAGGCTCCTGGGAAGATCGTGCAAGCCCAGAGTGGAAAGAGCTGCCATGGTGAATGCTCATAAGGGCCCAAGAAATGGAAGTGAGGAGACAAAAGACGGGCTTTGTGTGTACCTGGGAGATTTCTGCTGTCAGTTAGGTCTACAGCCCTCCACCACTGCACAGCTGAATACAATCAAAGAAGCGCCAGCTGGCCCTATCCCACTCTCTAGAGCGACATTTCAAAGGCAGACATCAGTGGGGCCCAAGACATGCTCATTTTCCTTCCAATTATGATCTCCAACTGCCAAGCTTAGAGGGGAAACTCAAAGTTTCTCAGTCCGTTTCAGTAGGTGTTCAACTCTGTCCTGGTTAGTTAGTTAGTTTGTTTATTTTTGTCAACTTTATACAAACTGAAGTCATCTGGGAAGAGGAATCTCTATTGAGAAAACACCTCCCTCAGATTGGCCTTGAGGCAAGTCTGTCTATAGGGCATTTTCTCATTAATAATTGATGTAGGAGGGCCCAGCCCACAGTGGGCAGTGACAACCCTGAGCAAATGGTCCTGGTGGTGTAAGAAAGCAGGCTGAGCAAGCCACGAAGAGCAAGCCAGTAAGCAGTGTTCTCTCATGGTTTTTGCTTCAGTCGCTGCCTCCAGGTCCCTGCCTTGAGTTCCTGTCTTGACCCCCCCCTTAGTGAACTGGGACTTAGGACATGTAAAGCAAATAAATCCTTTCCTTGCCAAGATGCTTTTGGTCCTGATGTCTTCATTGCAGCACAGAGAAAGCTAAGACAAAACCATTAGAGGGCCTGGCATCTTAAGGTCTTATATCATTTTCTGTTTCTTGCTTTTTAGCTCTTGGTCCCCGCTGAGGTGAGTTTCACTCCTGATTTGACTCCTCTAAAGTTTTTAACCCCTGGAACCCAGTTTGGTCCCCACCCTGATGACAGAGAAACAGCTCCTTTGTACAGTGTCCCCAGTTGCTTGTCGCCACCCAGGTCACATTCTCTGTATGTACTTTGTAACTGATACTGGAGTATTCCAGCTACCTAAAACAATCTCCTTCGAGGCCTCTCCAAGGTTTGCTCTTATAGCTCCTCAAAGCTTTGTTCAAATATCACCTTTCCTGACCATCCTACTTCAAACCACATACCACCTCAGCCTGCATCCTACCCTGCATCTCCTTCCCCGGGTGCCATTTATGACTGACCTGAGGCAATGTTTTACTTACTCATGTTCTGTCTCCACCCATAGAATCTACACCGCACTGAGGCAGGGTTATATTGGTTTTGTTCTTGGAGAGTGATGCTACAGGTGCTGGATAAATATTTGTCGAATGGATGAACGAATGACTGTCCAACCACCTACTTGCTCTCAACCCCCCTGGCCTAGTAAGATAGAACGCAGGCAGACCAGGGCCACAGAAGGAAGCCTGTCATCGGATCTGAGATGGAACCAAGCTCCTTTGGCAGCTCCGCACTTTCCTTGTGTTAATTTTCACAAAGCAAAAACCCAAGCCGCAAAGTAGACGGAGGGTAGTGGACGCATGTTCTGGGAACAGGGAAAGCTGACTGATGATTTGAGATGGGGGAGGGGAAGGGAGGCGCACAGGAGGAAGAGAGCAGATTCAACTTCGGTTCATTTACTTTGCCCTCAGCCATGAAGCAGAAAAAAAAAAAAAACGTGGAGGGGTGGAGAAAGTAGGCGTGACCTATGGTGGCCAATAGAAGGGCTGGAGCGGGGAGGAGGGCCAGGGGCTCAGAAGCTCCACTCAGTTTAGATTACCTGTGAGAAAAAGCGGAGTTCTGTGCAGTCCCTGTGTGTTTACCCAGGTGTTTGAGGACTGACTAGACCTAGGCTCAGGGGCCCCCGGTGGAAGAGATGAGTCTGTGAAGAGACTGCCCGAGAGTGTCTGTCTGCCCAGGGGTGGAGGATAATGAGAAGGTAGAGCTGTAGGTTCTGTGTGCGTAGGCCTCTGTGTGTTGTTTGTCCACAGAGAACAATAAACGTCATTCCTGCCCCTATTGCTGCTTGAGAGCCTGGCAAAGGGCCCACGGCACAGTGGAACCTGGAGAGGCTGAGTAATCAGACTCGAGAGAGGGAAACAGTAAAGGGCCTGGGATTAAATTTAACGGAGAAAACTGGAAAAAGAAATTAGTAAATAACTGTGTCTTTTCAAAGAAGTAGGGTTTAGTCCCAGTGGCCAGGGAGGTGGGTTACAGAAAAATGTCCTGAAGTTGCATCTAGAGAAATTTAGGTTAGACAAAGAAAAACGACCTTCTTGCCCCTAAAGGTTATTAACCTCTGGAATCCTTCAAGAGTCAGAAGGAATAGCTTCAATAAATTGGACAAACCTGATTTCCTAATGGAGGAAGATAGGCAGTTCTGCCTGGAAATGCTCAGACACACCCCTTTCTATGAGTGTGTTTTTCAACACTTACTAGGGTTCTATGCCAGACCCTACAGGGCGAGCTACTGATACATGACTTCTTTACTCAACGACTCTGAGGCCCTGAAGGGAAGTAATAATGGCTGTGAGCCGTGATGATTCTAGAAGTCGGTGAGACATGCCATTGACGAAAGCATGCAGGGCTCTCTAGAAGGACTAGCCTATCAACTCAATAGCCTGGTGGATTCCGGAACACCACAGGAGTCAGAGGTCACCTATGTCAGCGATGGCCTTCTTTCCCATCTGCCCAAGGGGACATGGGAGCCTGCTGGGGAGCCTGCTGGGGAGCCTGCTGGGGATAACGAGCAGTCACTGGCTTTGGGGTCAGAGGTCAAACGTCTGTGGGTAGAGAGAGGGTAGTCTCTTTTTGAGTAGTTGGGGGTAGACACAGTCATAGAAGCGTGAGTAAGGGTGAGAGTCAGGGATCGGCAAGGTCACATGACTAGAACCTGAAGCTTGTGTGGAGAGACGATGACATCACTCTGTTTTACTCCACCGTTGGTAGGAGATGATGTTTTAGATGGTTTTCTAGTAGGGAAATACGGCACAGTGTGTGATAGAAGCAAGATGGTGGTGATATTCACTATCATACTTTGCTTCACCCTATGCTAGGGAGTCTACATTTTGGGTTTGTGCTTTCATTATTTCGAAAAGTAACCCTTGAACAGGTGAGGAACTTGCTGGGTCTTTTGGAGCCTGGGGGTGTGGTTTGTAATTAACATGACAAACAATCTCTGCTTTCTTCCACTTTTCCTGTAAGAAAAGTGAAGAGTCAATTATAAAACAGCATGACTTGTGGTATAATAAGAGGGTCTAGGTCTTAGGCGTCATCATCTTCATCAGCTTCACCACCATCATCACCATCATCATCAATACCACAGCCATCATTACTGTTATCACCATCGTCCTCACCATCACCAACATCACATCATCATCTTCATGCTTCTACCATATCCTGAGCCACATTTCCCTACTAGAAAAATAAATCTAAAAAAATTGGATCCTGCCATACACCTTCCACGGTGTATAGAGGAGGATGACATCTGGGGATGCGAGGATGACTGGAGGCATAGAG